TGAACCCCTGTCATTATCCAAGAGGTTCTTCCCTGTTCAGCAGACAAACAGGTTTCAGTAAAAAACATTTCCCTTGCACCTCCTGAGCATTTGTGCTTTTAATAGTTTTAGAACTATGTATTGCTGATCTTGATATTTTCTGGAGTGATTCTAATTGAATTAATTTAATATTTCAGGGGACCCTGGTAAGTGTCTTCGGAATAAATTATTGTGAAGTGTGTTTTGTCCTGTAGTTATAGAAGATGTGAAAGTAATAAAATGCTGATGTGGTGTAACTTAGACACCTGACATAAAATACCTTTAAAATTAATAGGTGAGCAAGGGAGACAGCAAAAATGCCAAAAAGAAGAACAATAAGAAGACAAGTAAGAACAAGAGCAGCTTGAGTCGTGGCAATAAGAAAAAGCCTGGCATGCCCAATGTGTCCAATGACCTCTCCCAAAAGCTGTATGCCACTATGGAGAAGCACAAGGAGGTAAGAGTTGATAGAATGAGACATATGTATTTTACTGAAGTAGAGAGGTGTACAAAGCTTTGATACTTTAGAGTTGTGCCCTGTAAATTATACAGGTTTGGCTGGAGAATTGAGTGGCACACCAGATAAGTAAGTCTGGGTGCTTTTTGCTGCAAGGGCAGTGGGGATAAATACAGCTGTGCTCATACAGAACTTCCTACGTCTAGACTGTCACAAAATTTTGCTGTTCAGTCCAGTGTTCCTTACCTAATGCTTCTGAAGAAGGTGAACCTGCAGGGCACCCAGAGGTTTGAAACTTCTCAGCCCTTACAAGCACACCACCCTGGCGGCACATCATTCAAGTGTTAGTTGGTCCTGGAATTGTACGCTCTGTGTAATGAAGTTTGGCAACCAATACATCGTGATAAGTTCTGGCATTAAGCCTTTTTACTTTTCAGGTCTTCTTTGTCATCCGTCTTATTGCTGGCCCTGCAGCCAACTCCCTGCCCCCCATCGTTGAGCCTGACCCACTCATTCCGTGCGACCTGATGGATGGGCGTGATGCTTTCCTAACCCTTGCTAGAGACAAGCACCTGGAGTTCTCCTCACTACGACGGGCGCAGTGGTCAACCATGTGCATGCTGGTGGAACTGCATACCCAGAGCCAAGACCGCTTTGTTTACACCTGCAATGAGTGCAAGCATCATGTGGAGACCAGATGGCACTGCACTGTTTGTGAGGTATGCTTGGTGAAGTTTTCCCTACTTGTGTCCCCGTATCTCTGTGCCCAGAATGCTCTTCATCCGAACTAATTTCTCAGTATTAACTGATGGAAAAAGATCTGTACAGCTCATCCTCTGGCAGTTCAGAAAGAAAGGAGAGGAAACGTTTTCTGTAACAAGTGATTCTACTAATCTGCTACTTGATGTGATTTTTGTTGTCGTCTTCAAAACTGTGGAGAACTGAAGTAGAGTTGTATTTTCTGTAGTTCATTTAAGGTGCTGCTGCTTAAGCAGTTGGGAACTGTAGTAATTGCTTGAGCTGTAATGGTAGGATCAGCTGATTTTTCTGAAGAGCAATGCATCCTTTCTTCTTCCAGAGTCAGAAGTGTTGCGCTGCAGTATTTCTGTAAATAGGGCTCTCCGTTGGTTTACTGGCATAGAGGTTTTGCTATGCTGGAAGTCAGATTCCTATACTTGGGTGACTCTTCCACTACCCTGTTGTGTCTTTGTAGAATGCTGCAAATAGTGCTTTTTGTCTTTGGAAGTGTTTGCAATACCAGTGTGTTTAAAGATCAAGTCCAGTGGTCTGGGTCAACGCTGAGCCCTCCATAAGCTGGACTAACCTTGAATCTGGCTTGTAACTTAATTTTTTAGCCTGCTGGAAGTAAACGACTGTCTTGGATTCAGTTCTGAAAAGCTCTGATTAAAATCTGATGCTCCCATTTCCTTGTATATACCAGAAAAAAAATTCTAAATTTCCTATGGATTAATGAATCCTGAGATCTTGGATCAATTATTGAGCCCAAACTCTTGCGCTGTTGCTTTCACAGAATGTAAATGCTGTTCTATTCTTCTGCCCAGTACACTGCTGTTTAACTCACCTGAAAACTGAAAATGCAGCTCTCATTCTCCTTTCTTTTATGAAAATTGGTACCTCTCCTGCCACTCTTGCCCTCTTCTTTTGAAGCAGCAGCAGATGGGCAGCTATTTGTTCCTTGCCTTTTTCTTCTTCTTTCCTATCAGGGAAGAAAGGGATTTTTCTGGCCCAGCTGAATAATGTGTGACTTATTAGCTCAGAGCAACCTTGTTTTTCAAGCTATATGTGCTTGTGTAGTTTTCAGACCCCCTTGTGCCCACAGACTTTCCCTGGCTATAATTTGGATTTACTCCTTCTCCAGTACCTCAATGTGATGTGAAAGATTGAATTTTTCCCTAGAGCAACAATTTGCCTGGAACAGACTGGGAGTAATGTGTTGAGGTGGCATGACATCATTTATTTATTGTATGGAGTTTCAGGAACGCTGATAACTTTTCCTTCATTGTCTTTCCAGGATTATGACCTGTGCATCACCTGCTATAACACTAAAAACCATGACCACAAGATGGAAAAATTAGGCCTTGGTCTAGATGATGAGAGCAACAACCAGCAGACTGCAACCACCCAGAGCCCTGGTGATTCCCGCCGCCTGAGCATTCAGCGCTGTATCCAGTCTCTGGTCCATGCCTGCCAGTGTCGTAATGCCAACTGCTCACTGCCATCCTGTCAGAAGATGAAACGGGTTGTCCAACACACCAAAGGCTGCAAACGCAAAACCAACGGAGGGTGCCCCATCTGCAAGCAACTCATTGCTCTCTGCTGCTACCATGCAAAGCACTGCCAGGAGAACAAGTGCCCAGTGCCCTTCTGCCTCAACATTAAACACAAGCTCCGTCAACAGCAGCTTCAGCACCGCCTGCAGCAGGCACAGATGCTCCGAAGGAGGATGGCGAGTATGCAGCGGACCGGTGTGGTAGGCCAGCAGCAAGGATTACCCTCACCGACGCCAGCCACCCCAACGACTCCAACAGGCCAGCAGCCCCCAACACCACAAACCCCACAGCCCCAGCCTCCGCCCCAGCCTGCCTCGCAGCCTCAACCTGCACCTCCCAACAGTATGGCGCCCTACACCATGCCAAGAACTCAGCCCCCCAGCGCTGTGTCCCAGGGCAAAGCAGGTGGCCAGGTGACTCCTCCAACTCCACCCCAGCCACCGCAACCACCAGTTCAGGGTCCTCCTCCAGCAGCAGTGGAAATGGCCATGCAGATCCAGCGGGCAGCAGAGACCCAGCGTCAGATGGCACAGGTTCAGATCTTCCAAAGGCCAATCCAGCACCAGATGCCCCAGATGCCGCCTATGGGAATGAACCCTCCGCAGATAGGCAGAGGTCCTGGTGGTCATATAGATCAAGGAATGGGGCCGGCAGGAATCCAGCAGCAGCCACCGTGGGTGCAGGGCAGCTTACCCCAAGCTCAGCTACAGCCAGGAATGCAGAGGCCGCCATCCATGATGTCAGTAGCCCAGCCAGGTCAGCCGATGAATATGGCACCTCAGCCAGGGATGGGTCAGGTACCTGGCGCTGCTCAGCCCAAACAACCACCTCTGCCCCAGGCGGCCTTACAAAACCTGCTGCGGACTCTCAGGTCTCCCAGCTCACCCATGCAGCAGCAGCAGGTGCTTAACATCCTTCACTCCAATCCCCAGCTGCTGGCCGCTTTCATCAAGCAGCGGGCTGCCAAGTATGCGGGCTCCCAGAACCCCCAGGGGATGACGGGTCAGCCTGGCATCCCCCAGGGTCAGCCGGGCCTCCAGCCGCAGCAGGCCATGCAAGGGCAGCAAGGAGGGGTGCACCCCAACCCAGCCATGCAGAGCATGAACCCCATGCAAGCGGGAGTGCAGAGGCCCAGCATGCCCCAGCAGCAGCCGCAGCAGCAGCCGCAGCAGGCCATGGCTGGGATGAATCCTCAGGCGCAGCAGATGAATATGAATCACTCGGGGATGGCTCCCCAGTTCCGAGACCTCCTGATGAGACGGCACCAGATGATTGAGCAGCAGCGCCACCAGCAGCAACCGCAGCCGCAGGGAGCAGGGCCAGCACTGGGGCCGGGGATGGCCAACCACAACCAGTTTCAGCAGCCCCAGGGCGTCGGGTATCCCCAACAGCAGCAGCAGCAGCAACAGCAGCAACGAATGCAGCATCACATGCAGCAGATGCAGCAAGGAAACATGGGACAAATAAGCCAGCTTCCACAGGCGATGAGTGCAGAGACAGGAGCCAGTTTGCAGCAGGCTTTCCAGCAGAGGCTACTTCAGCAGCAGATGGGGTCCCCAGCTCAGCCCAATCCTATGAGCCCCCAACAGCACATGCTCCCCAATCAGGCCCAGTCCCCGCACCTACAGGGCCAGCAGCTCCCTTCATCGCTCACCAATCAAGTGCGTTCTCCGCAGCCTGTACCCTCACCACGGCCCCAGTCCCAGCCCCCCCATTCCAGCCCGTCCCCCCGGATGCAACCTCAGCCTTCTCCACACCACGTCTCCCCGCAGACCAGCTCCCCACATCCAGGACTGGTAGCTGCCCAGGCTAACCCCATGGATCAAGGGCACTTTGCCAGCCCGGACCAGAGTGCAATGCTTTCCCAGCTTGCTAGCAATCCCGGCATGGCAGGCCTCCATGGTACAAGCGCCACGGAACTGGGGCTCAGCTCCGAGAACTCAGACTTGAATTCAAACCTTTCACAGAGTACACTAGACATACACTAGACACATTGTAGCATTTTGGGAGCAAAAAAAATTTAAAAAAAAAAAAAGAAAAGAAAAAAAAACTTATTTTCTCAAGACTTTTTGTACTGAAGACAAATTTTTTTGAATCTTTCTTAGCTAAAACAACATTTTTCCCTGGAACACATCTGAACTCTGCAGCGGTAGTTCATGGTTTTAAAAACAAACCAACAACGAACCTGAGGGACAGTAGAGTACAAAGAATATATTTTTGTTATGGCTGGAATCATAACCAGTCCTTTTTCTTGTTTTGGGTTTTTTTTGTTGGTTTTTTTTTTTTTCCTCGTGTGCATTGGGGAGGTCGGGGGAAGAGGGTGGTCTTCTGGTTGTTCACCAAAGGATGCCCTACTCATGCCTCCAATAGGGTTGTGTTTTTGTTTTTTGTTTTTTGTTTTTTTTTT